AAGTTCGTAGCGCGAAGCAGCTCTTTATTATAAAAGTGACGCATTGTTTTTCTATCGTGCTCCTGCGGACCACTATGGAACTTTCACAAAATCGATGTAATTTAATTGCGCATGCACCCTGTATAAAATGTCCTTCACATCTCGTCGAACTTCAAAGTTACAGCAAACATCGGTAAATATTAAAATTTGCACAAATAATAGCGTTGTCGAATGATATTTTTTCAAATATCTCGCGCCCCGTATAATTGACGAAACCTGAAACTCTCTCACGACACGGTTTATATCGTAAACCGTGTCGTTTACGATACTGTTCAAAAAAAATTATTCCATCTTTAATGGTTTCTCATTGATCGCCAATAATTTATCCACAAAAACGGATTTTTTTAGGATATCTTAGATTTTTTGCCCATAAACGACACATGCTGTATATGATTCAATCATTGTACGAAGTAGAGGTCATAGCCCTGGATTTTTCACGTTTCCTGATTCAAGAATTTTTTGAAAATCGTAAATGGTTTTCGAGAAAATAAGTTTTTTCTCAAACCATGCAGTCGCCGTAATAATCAATGACGTTATCGCGATTATCTCAAATATCCCGAGCAACGTATGTGATAGACGAAAACCGCAAATACAAAAATTTTAGCTCTTGATGCGGCCTATGACACAGTTTGAACCATATTAGCCATATTTTTTACGATTTTTGATTTGCCGCTAATAATTTGCTCTGTAAGAAAACAATTTTCTAGGCCTTTCAGATTTTTGCCTATAATTTGAAAACCCCGTATATAATCGAAAAAATGCCCGAAATAAATGTTATTGCACTTGATCTTCTGCGTCTGCGGGTTAAATAATTGTGCGAATCGGATGAATGATTATGGACGAAAACATATTTTTATGGAAGCTAAAATTACCAACAAAAAAAAAACATTTTAAAAAAATACTTGGTAAAATTTGATTGAGCTAAATTTCTACCGTTTAAATGTGGACACGGACTTTTACTTCTCTGCTAAATTTGAAATTGATTAAATACAAAAGTGTTTGCTGTTATTGCGGGCTATATCGCAATATAAAAGAAAGTGAGATCTGAATCACAGTTTTTCAGCTATAACCAATAATAGGGGTACCCATATTTTAGTTTTTTTGAATTTGCGGCTCACCCTGTATATTTTTGAAAAATTGTCAAGATTAAAAGTTTCTAGAGCCGTATCTTCTGCTTCTTCCAGTCCAAGAATTTGTTTGATCTTTTACACAGTTATTGAAAAATGATTTTTTTGTAGACTCTTGCACCCGCGATTTTTTATTTTTTTAGAATACTTTCCGACCCCCCAGCCCTCCATTTTCAATAGGTGCCATCACGGAGCAAAGCTGCATATATGTGCCAAACATAAAGCCGATTGCTTCAAATTTCGGACACTTATCGCGTTTCATAGCAAGGTTCAAAAAATAGTCGAAAATCACGAAAAAAAGATGGATACCGGCGTCGGATCAGGGCCATTTTTTATAAGCTTATGTGCCTCGTGGAGGGTTAAACAGGAAGTAAATTTCAATTTTGTAGCTCCAACGGTTCGAAAGTTATTCAGGAAAAACCAAAAGACGAGAACGGAGAACGGAGAACGGAAATGCCCAAGGGGCTCGGATCCGTGGGATAAGAAACTCACGTGGTAAAGTGACGTTTTCCATCGGTGTATAATTAGATATTTTACAGACGGAAGTAGAAAAAAAAAGTTTCACTCTCACTGTTACTGTCGTCATCCAATAATTCTCTCCCATGGCAACAGATCTTCATTACCGTATGATTGTTCTACTTTTTGAACATGGAACACGGAACTTTATTCAATCTACTTATGTAAAACTCAGGCGAGTCTCAGGCTGTCTATATTATGTTTTTTGGAGGTGTATTTGCTAATAATTTGTTCTTAAACTCGTCTTCAAAATATTTCTAACATAGTCCATCAGTGCCTGGAGATACGGTAGCCAAATTTTATTTTACTCCTTGAATCTTAGTGGTGGTCGAGAGTGAGGGATTTGGCTTTTTAATGAATTCGATAGATCGGCCGTTATACTATAACTCATATTTAATAAAGGGGTCAGTTCGGTTCTGTTCTCCTATAATCTACGAACACAGAAAATCAATTTAGGTGGAATAATAGATTCAGAAACACAAATATTATTCATTATTATTATTATTATTATAGACGAGATTACCTCATTCCGGTAAGTACCAAAACATGATGCATTTTCTATTGCACTTGCTTTTGGTTTTAGAACCCTCCTTACTATTTTACAGGTCACCAAAATCACGGACTTCTGCATCTCAAGATAACAGTTTTTTTTTGGCAGGATGATTGCGGCTGGGATTGCAATGTCAACAAGACCAATTGAAGAGTGGAAATGTCAATGCCATTTTTTGATATATTAACATTTTGTGTTAGAATGGTCGGACGTGCCCCGCCGCGTGTCCTAAGAAAAGGAATGCTTATCGTAATAACTGAGTAACCTGTATGTTCCTTACTTTTAGGAACACTGGCAATTATAAGCATTGTTGTAAATTTAAACAGTTTTTCTTGATTGTCCCCAAAATGTAATTTTGGCATTTTGACGCTTCAATTGACTTCTGTGTCTTGTTATAGATTAGAGTATCTGGTCTGTGGTATTGGACGGTGTGGTCAGTTTGTATGGTTCTTTGAAATTTTTTCACTCAGTAGCTTCAAATTGTTGACTACTACCTGCTGAAGTATTTAAGCTACATTGGCATGCCTTCTGGTGGTACTCGATATTCTCATAACCTTCACAAATGCGGAAATTCGCTGATGTTGCGGTATGTTTTTTAATTAGGTGTATAAAATAAGAACGCATACATGAGCCATCAAACCCAATACGCTCTTATCTAGGAAGTCATTCTAGAGCGAGTTGAGATATGTACAGTGGACCTTGAGTTCTGTTAGCAAGCACCGATAGTCCAACCGATAGTGGCTTCCCACGGCCCGTGTTTTTGCAGGCCCGGACGCGCCGGCTCGCACCAACGCGCCGTTGGAAGACGGTCGCCTGAGGTGGCGCGAGGAGGTGATACGGATCCGCAGCGAGTCGGTAAATTCAAAGGCGCGAACCGGCGCGGCGCGTTCATGCCTGTGCAGACCTGTTGTTATTAGGATAGACATACATCTTCATTGTTTTTGCGGCTCAACAAGTTGTTTTGGTGTTTTTTAAGCGTTAATATGGAGTGGACGAACGAAATTCCTTACACATTTATTAATTTATATGAAAATGAACCCGCGTTATGGAATACAAAAAGTGACCGTCATAAAAATCGAAACGAGCAGCACGAGCGTCGTATGCAAGATAAATTAAAAGACAGTATTGGTGGCATTACGATTATGTATGACAGCGGCTGCGGCAACAGTTTTTTGTTCTTCCGACATTACTGATAATCATCAAAAAACAAATTGTTAGCAATCACCAACCCCGAACACCAGTAAACACAAAAATATGCAGACAGCTAATTTGTTTTGAAAAGGTACTTGGGCACAAACACGCCGCGCCGTGGGAAGAGTTCCGCCTGAAGCCCGTTCGAGCCCTTTATCGAGACCTGATATTGCTTGGGGTAGTATTGTAATTATTATTATTATTACCACAAGTATGAAGTCGTTGGGGATTAATAAGAACCTTATATTCCTCTGATCAGGCAATTCCGCCGGGTTGCAACCGAATTCTATATTCCTTTTCTACTAAGTCTTCATAAATAAATAAATAAATAAATAAATAAATATATATATATATATATATATATATATATATATATATATATATATATATATATATATATATATATATATATATATATATATATATATATATATATATATATATATATATATATATGATGACACTATACACCGGGATATCATCCGTTCGCTCGTTGAACTCCGACTGGAATCCTGCATCCGACTGGAATCCTGCAAATCCTGCAGACGTTTCGCCAAAATCTCACTTGGCATCTTCAATGCTCGCGCTCCGAAAACACTTCGAACACTCTATATGTATATATATATATATATATATATATATATATATATATATATATATATATATATATATATATATATATTGAATTCAAAGGATATCGGGTAGCGGTCCGTCCGTGGGTCCGATATCCTTTGAATTCAAATAAGTTTAGTACGGTCGATATAAGAAGAAATTCCAAGTGTTATATATATATATATATATATATATATATATATATATATATATATATATATATATATAATTAATAATAATTAATATAGTCAAATGCACTGCTCCAGTTTGGTAAAACCCCTAAGTAATTATATTTAACGCAGTGGGTTTTCGTACTATACAAAATTTCAAGTATAGCAGTTAATTTTTTAAATAGTATACACTGTATCTAAATACTTTCTCCTGTAAAACTATTGCCTCTGAAGCACTTTCGTACAGCTTTCGACATATTAATATATATAGTATGCTATGGAACAAGTTTGATAAATGCCAGCTTAATCACTAGTTTGATTTATCTACTATCTTGTTCAAATTCACTTAATTGTTATTAATTAATTAATTCAATACCCCAAATTTACTTAATTATTTCTCATATTTGAAATATTTATTCTTGCGCGAGCCAAAATTTTTACAAACTAAAGCACCACACAAAATTTACTAAAACAATAAAAAATGATTTTGGATTTCGCGGACAACCCTACGCATCCGCCAGCTAGCTCACATGACAAGCACGTATAGGTCATCTGTTTTAAAAATCGTTTCAAACTGACCAAAACTTAATTGATTAATAAGAAGAGTTTAGCTAACGACAATTCACACAGCAAGAGTTTCAAATCACACACGGATGTGATTAGCAAATCAAACAAAATGTTCGACTTTACTTTAAAAACAAGGAATGTTAGAAAGTGAACATTCAGATTTTGTCACCATATTACCAGTAAAATGTGCTGTGACCTTAAGCACACCACAGCACAATACTTACTATTCTGTGGTGGGAATGCGGGTCAAGGCTTTTGGTGTTTTGATTTTTGATATTTTTGTATTTAAATAAGAATACGCATTGCTAAAAGGATTCAGACATTTTGGCACTTTTATATGCACTAGAATACATACAACATAAAGCGAAAACGTAATATTCGATATGATATTTTATTAATGGGAATATTTACTTTGCATGTCAAGAAAAATAAGCACTAGATTAATTTCTAAACCAGGTTTGAGGTTATCCAGATAAGATACCGTTAAGTACTGTGAAAAACTGAAAGACATAAACAGGAAACCCGAGAATTACACGTATGATTAATTCTATTCGGCAATAAATGAGTGATATCAGTAAAATTCCCATAGAGGAAAGAAATGTTTAAATTTTGTATGTCCCCCAAAAATGAAGACTGTAGCTGGAAAAGTTGTTGTTTTGGGGCACCAGGGTAATATTAGTTTATTCGTTACCAATTTTCTGGTTGCTTAAATTTGAATGTCTTACAGGAGTTGGTAAAACTTCGACAGTTATGAGATATGTAGAAGATACCTTTGCTGCACATATTGCTCCCACGGTAGGTGCTTCGTTTTTTACTTGTAGGCTATGCATTAAAGACGTTATAGTTAAAATGCAAGTGTGGGACACGGCAGGTCAAGAACGATTTAAAGCTATGGCACCAATGTTCTACAGGAATGCCAATGCCGCCCTATTGGTGTTTGACTTAACCTCATATAAGTCATTTGAAGATATGAAAGGCTGGGTGCAAGAATTAAAGCGAAATGTTGAAGAAACTATAATTTTGTGCGTCGTAGGTAATAAACTTGATCTGCCCAATTTGAGGGAGGTACCTAGAGATGAAGCACTGCAATATTCGAAAAGTATTGGTTCCTCATACCATGAGTGTTCAGCAAAAACTGACCAAGTAAGTTTAATTATATATTTCTCTATTTGATTGCAAGAATCGTGGAAAATATTTGTGACACTGAGTGCTTCTCTTGTGGACAGTTAATATGTTTCTTAATCAGTGGAACTGCCAATGTATTTTAACTGCATCTCATGGACAGATAATTTTCGAAAATATCTTAGGGTGTCAGGCTGGTGTTTGAGGATATAGCCCGATGTCTTATTAAACTTGTCGGACAAAACGCACGGACGTTGCAAGTGTATGACGATGGGGAAGGCTTGATGGCCAAATCAAGTCAGTTAGAGGCGACTGACACTGCAAGAGAGGAGACTGTTAATCTTAGTATTAGTAATATAGCTCATGGAAAATCCGTGAGGCAAAAATGTTGTTGAGTTCTTTTTTTGTACACATTGTTTTTACATAAAAACAAACACTCTTACGCAACCTGTAAAGTTTATATTAAAGGGGGATTAGAAAATAGTAACTATTTGTTTGAGCTCATTTTTCTGCATTTTAAAAACTGATTTTTTAGCATAGGTTAACAAAAAAAGGTTCAGACAGGTTGTGATAAGTTTAAGGTGGAAACTAGCTTTCTTATGTTGTTTTTCAAATGACAATAATTTTTCATAAAATTTTTACTGTTTTTGAAATTTCATATATTTACCCACCGCCCGTTTTTGTTTAAGACATTTTTGTTTAAGCATTTTTTTTTCTAATATTAAAAATGAGTTTTGACTGTTAGTGGTTTTTTGAATTTTTTATTCCGTTTTTGTAGTTTTAGTAAATTTAATAAAGTGTTTGAGTTAATGTTTTTTTTTTCAATATTATTTATGCCCTTGTTTATTCCTAAAAGCTCTGGGAAAGATTTTCAATCTTTAAGGCGCCAGTTTCGTTAAACAGTGCTCTCTGATGTTTTCGCTAAAATAATAATATATACTAATGGTATTCTGATCTTTGTCAGTTCTGTGTTCGTGCTGTTCTGTAATAATGTATGGTATGTCCCAAAGTATAACGTCTTGACTTTTAAAATAACTTGCCGACGGCAATAAAACACCTGACTAAATCTAATCCTATTCCACTATCGGAGACGTCTTTAAGATTAATCACAATGGGCTCTATGTTATTTTTTATGCAAGGGTAAAAATTTTTAATTTAAAAAATGTGTACTGTATTTTTCTAGCTCTTAATATTAATAACATTTTTAAATTTATTACCCTCGAACTTAAAGTAGGAGTAACATTTTCTGTTTTTACATTTGATTTTACTGGGGCCACTATGGGCTTGAATGATATAGAGTAAGACTTAACAGAGTATGCCCCATCTATTCATTTAAACTATTACATGGTGTTTTCCAAAAGTTGCCCTTTCTAGTAACTGGAATCAAAATAAATATCATTTTGTAAGAAATATTTTTGAATTTCAGTTTTGGTTAGTTGAATAATTTGGTGCTTTTTTATAGCAGGCTGCCATGATAGTTATCCGTTACGACACTTTCGTTTGGATACTGTGTCGTGTGGATCGAAGTTTCATGTAAGTAAATTATACATCGTGTTTCGGATCTTTGAATGGTTCTTAATTATAAGTTAATCCGTGCGATTCACTTACCTTGGGTATTTATCTTTCCAAAGACGGAACAGTTGGGTTTGGTAAAAGGAATATATTTTCTATTTTATCATATCTTGTTCACTATTGTACAGGCAATGAGATTGAAAATCACTACATTGTTTTCTTTCATTCAACAATTGTGTTTGTAAGTAAGCAGATTTCTTTTAAAGCTTCTTGTTTAATATATATTTTACATAAACGTAACCGAAAAATTTGTGATATTCATGGTAAAACGGGATATTCAACACTGCCACATATCAGCCATTGATTAAATTATTGGCTATTGGGTTGACCCAATAGGTTTCGTTTTCATTTCAGTCATTTGGGAGGTTGTCGCTCCATCTTTTGCTAGGTCTTCCAAGGCTCTTTCGTCCTGCAGGTGATTTGTCTCTCGATATTTTCACTATTCGCTCTTCTGCTATACATCAATGTTTCCTTTTTATCTTTCGATCCAACACCCAGTTATTGATGTTATCTACCACGCACACTCGCCTAATATTCGCCTTTTTTCCTTATCGATGAACATTTTTCCCCCTAACCAAAACTATTTTTATTTCCGTGGTTTCTAATATTCTTTTTGTTTTCGACGTTTCAAGTCGGGTTTTTGCTATATAGGTGAGTATAAGTCTAATAGCAGTTTTATATATGCGGGTTTTTGCTTCAGTTTGGATGTGTTTATTTCGTCAGATTGTATTGTTCAGGTATGCTGCTGCCCTAGACGCTCCTGAAGCTTAGTTCCTTACTTCTGTGTCGATGTCTCGGTATCCAGCTATTTCAATTCCTAAATATTTGAATTTCATTTCCTTTTGGTATTATTTTGTCCTCAACCACAAATTTGCAGCTGATCTGTGACTTGGCAGTGACCATCGATTTTGTTTTTGCCGCTGATATAACCATATTAAATTGTTTGTTGGTTTCATCGAACCCGGTATAATAGGTATGAAGGTCATAATTACTTTCTAGGGAGGGTCCGTCCAAGACGATATACTTTGAGACACCCTTTACAGCCGAGGATGTAACTGTATACATTACCCAAAAACTAATCTTCGTAAAAATATACTATGTTTATCAAACCGCTAAACTTCTTCAGACATTTGTTGCAAAAACACTCGCTCCGCTGGAACAAACTAGTAACTAAGTTGGAGTTTATGAAACGTGTTGCATGATTTACTATACTGGTCCTATCAAGACTTGAATGCACATGCCACGGGGAACAGTTAAAACTCCTCGTGTGTGGCGAAGAATACGGAATGCGCATTCAAGTCTGCTAAAATCAGAATTGTCTTGATTTTTAGCGTGTGCAATCAAACCTCCGCGGGGAAAACCGACTGTGAGTGGGTACAAGTCGTTGCACTCTGCGGTGTTGTTTCAGTAGTGTCGTGCTAATTATTGTTATAAGTCAAACTTTTTAAATTAAGAAAATAATAATAATAATAATACAGAATTCATTGAATTATATCAAAAACACCTCTGTTTGTGGCGTGTTAAAAGCAAAGAATACAGCGACCGAAACAAAAAAAATAATGCCTACGAAATTTTTGTCAAAAAATTAAAACAAGTTGATTTACATGCATCTAAAGATACGGTAGTAAAAAAAATTAACACACTATGTGGATGCTGGCGAAAAAAGCACAAAAAAGTGGTAACGTCGCAAACTACTGGTGCTGACGAAGAGGATGTATATTGTCCACATCTGTGATATTACAACTTACTATTCTTTCTACAAGACCAAGAAATACCTCGATCTTCGATATCAAATATGGAGGACATTCAGGTAATAAGCAAATATACGTTTTGGATTTAATCGTTTTATTATATTTATTATACTTTAGGGTCGATTTACCCAACATTAATTAAACTAAAACGTACAGTTAAGAAAAATCCTTACTATGATCATAATAATTGTGGCTATGGTATTATTCTATAATTAACTTTAACTTTTGTTGGTGAATCCGGTCCTTAATATAATTAGCCACTGTTCTCAGTTATTTTATCATGACCTCTTGCCACGGAACAGTTCCTTTTTCATTAAAATAGTTCAAATACAATTTCCGTACAGCTACAGCGCCACTGGTTGCATGTCTATTATGTCTCCGTTGTAATGCTGCCAGATGATCAGCTCTAAGTCCAAAGTTAATAGCACCATTTGCAATGTCTTCATTATCTAGACACTCAGTTGGAACATACCTTTCTAAGCATTTTCTTCGAAAGAAATTGTGTAAAACACATAACAATCGTGTCAGTACGTTCTAATCGTACTGAAATTTCTGTATGAAATATACGAAATCGGGCAGTCATTATTCCAAAAGTGTTCTCTATAATGCGTCGTGCCCGAAAAATTCTATAATTGAAAATTTTTTTTGTCGTGATTTCATTCTCGCTGGTTAAAAGGTTTAAGGAAATCTGAACGTAACGCAAAAGTTTCGTCGCCAATAAAAACAAAAGGAAGATGTTTGTCACTTTCCACAGGTTGTTCATAGTTTGCATTAGCTACTGCCATTAAAACTAGGCTGTTGTAGCCTTTATAATTCCAAAAGTATTAACCACTTGCGGGGAGGGCTGTTATCTTTATGTGTTCGCCGTCAGCAGCTCCCAAACAGTTAGGAAAATTACATTTCTTCTCAAATCCTTTACTAATTACTTGCCATTCAGCGGTAGTTGCCGGAAACTGAAACAATGAACAAATTGAAGACACATTGTAACACATGTGCCACACCAATACATTATATGTAAGCATTATCTATATTGACATGGGTACGTGCGGAAATCAGGATTGCACCTGTTTGACATTTTTCTAATGATAACAGTGAAGAAACCTGGATTAGGATAAAATTTTCCCATATAGCATTTTTATGTACGTTCCCTACTTTACATGGAAAAGTTATTATTGCAGGTGCTGTCCGATAACCAAGACACCGACGACACCCAAGACGTTCAAGACTCCCAAGACACTCGAGACACCCAGGCGGAAGGTTTTATTAATACTCCTTCGCCTGCTAACACTGAGCCTTCCACTTTACGTGGTATAATCAGACCTTCATGAAAAAGGCCAATGGCCAATACTGCTCCGGTTTCTAAGGCCGATGAAATTTTAACATTAATTGTCCACAAGTTATAAACTGAACCAGAAAAAGATGATGAGTTTAATGCTGTGGGCCACAAAGTCGCTTGCAAATTAAGAAGGCTGCTAGCAGAAACAAGAGTGTTTGCCGAAAAGCAACGACGTTCTGTTTTATGCCGAAATGCCTGCCCGCCTGGACCATCCGAAGCCATAGTTTCCCATACACATAACGCAACTGGTACTTCGACTAGCAACACCTATGATAATATTGGAAATACCGATAATATTGGAAATTATTTTAGTAATTATACTTCTTTAAATACTTACAACTATTAATCATTTTTGTTAGCAAATATACAATGTTGTTTTTTCTTTATTTTTTGTTTGTGTTCTGCTTTTTAAAAAATAAAGTTCATACGTTTTATTAAAGTATAGCCTTATTATGCACTTACCTTCATAAACTCATTTTTTAATACAGAATATGTAGCAGCACAGGTTTCAGGAATTATGCACCCTAGTGCCTGTGGTGAAATTATTGTAGAAAATTTGAGGTCTTCATAACTTCGGCCAGTTGCCAAGAAACGTAAAGTAGCAGTTAATTTTTCGTCTACGGATATGGCAGGTCTCATCAGAGAGTGTTGTTTTTGAAGAAGAGGAGTAACCAACTTCAGTAGCTCACCATACGTTTCTACATCCATCCTTAAGTAGTTATGCCAGTCAGCAGGTTCAAGCCGCAATTCTTCGAGCAGATTAACATGAGAATAATCATTGCGCTTTTGTAGCCATTCTTTAACCCATCGTGATCGCCGAATTTTTTTCTTATTGTTGATAACATTTCCTTTTTTTATAACACAACTGCACGCCACTGTCATGTAGTATAGATCCTTCTTTGCCGACATAGCCATGAACATTTGATGCACAACTGACGGGAAAGACCTAGTGTGTGTGGAGGTACAAACAGTAAACTTTTAGCTTAGGACAAGCGTGCACACGTTTAATTGCACATTCTTCCCTCTAGGTGAGTGGCTGGCCGGCTTAAGATTAGCAACAGTCTAGTTCGTCGGATTTTACAATTACATATTATGAAATAAAATTTTGCTCCTCGATTAA